AAGGGGATTATCACCCCTTGGTTCAGGTCTATGTCAGAGGGGGTCGCTACCCTTCGGGCAGAGCTCCTATGGAGCATTCAGTCTCTCCTAGCAGGTCTTATATATACGCCTGCGGGATGAAAACATAAGGCTTAATGAGTCTTTGGGCTGACCAGAGTTTGAGAGTATAATGTATATAATTGGTTCACTTCACCCTGAACCCATTCTCCCACAATGATTTGGTGTGTGTTTTACTTATTTTCAGGCTATTCTTTCACCTAACGTGCTTGAATTATTAATGCCGAGTTTTACAAGTCACTCTAGTTCTCCGTTTCAAGTTCAAAACTGATCTCATAATAAACTGGATATACCCTATCAAAACCCATTCGAGAGAGACTTGGGCAAGTCTAGAAATACCCTTACAAGAATACCAAAGTGGTTTTCCGTGCCATGCACGCGGGATGTTTGCGAAACATTCTCGAAAGATTCTTGCAGCATCGCATGGTCATGAATGACGCTATCCTGCACGTAAAACCATTTGGTAATATTGTTATAAAATAACTACAGTATATATAAAAAAATGGCTAACTTTATTAAAACGTTAACTTAATTTAAACATTATTTAAATGGTTAACTTTATCTAACTTTATTATAACGTTTTTTGTTAACTTGTCTCTTGTTGAATACTGTACAGCATACTGTTAACTTCACACGTTAAAAGGTTTTGAGTTTCCACATTTTTAAAAGCCAACGCAAAGCCATTTAAATTTTCCGTCCAGGATTGTTTGATCCTGCATGGGTATTGACAAACAAATTGCGTTTTTCACTGTATAGTTATTGTATTATATAAAAACCCATCCTTCAGTAGGGCTTAACTCATCAGTAAGATCTTACCTTGCATGTTTCACAGTAAAACTTGAGTGTTTTATCTTGATGTTTCCTACAATAAAGTTTGCTTTTTATCTTGGCTTGACCTTCAGGACTGTCCAGCTCGTTGATAGACAACACAGTATGCTTCTTGTTTGCTGGCCACTTGTTATGCCAATTACAACAATTCTCACACATGAACATTTCACATGCTACACAACGATAAACTGCAGCAGCCTCACAACTTTGGCAACTGGATACCTAGGTAGAAAAAACACATTGTGATAGTCATACATTAAGTACTGTATTGTCAATGTAGCTATGTACGTTGATTTGGATCAAACTTTACTAGCCCTTATGGTTATTCTAGGTAGCGTGCACTCTTTAATTTAATAATACTACTTGTAAATGATTATGTGTGTAATTTCTGAGTATAATGAATTGTAGTTGTTGCTGGATCAGAACTATATTATATTAAGCAAGAATTATAGAAATGCATTCACAGTGCCAGTGGACTCTGGGAGCCACGATCAAACGGTGAACGAAAAAGTTCGGACATTTTTCCAGCCAATTTTTGAACGTCATTGCAGGCAAAACACAATCTCTCAAAAGGCAAAACACAATCTCTAAATACATGTGTATTGAATTTATATACAAATTCATGCATTGCTACTGTACTACTGTATTATTATACAACTTGTCCAATCATATCCGAAATAATCCCCCCCCCCCCACTTCCACTTGCAATAAATGTACACAGGGTTAACTGTAAATTAGGTTTTGGCCACATTCAAGCATGACCTTCGTAGTCTAAGAGGCTAACTCCAAATGTAAAAATATGCACTTTAGTAACTCTGAAGTTAGTACATGTCAACCCTAAATCCACCATGTAGAGAGAGTTGATCTAGTTATCATCTAAACCTGAGTAAATAATAATATGGCTTTCAACTGCAAAAATATTTAGTCCTAGTATTTTTGCACACGTGAATATAACAAATCTTACAACCTGATTAGGGTTGGGCGATATTTCGATATTTTGATTTATCGCGATATTTTCAATTGCGATTATCGTATCGAAGGTAGAAACTTGAGTGACGATATATCGAAATTATCGTCATGCTCGATGACTATCGTGATATTACTTCGCATATGAATCTAGACAGAAAAATGTTTAACCTAGTAGTTTTAATTGATCTAAATACTGTTGATCATCAAATTCTATTGAGGAAGTTAGAACTTTATGGAATAAAAGGACAAGCTCTAACTTTGCTCAAATCTTATCTCACAAACAGAAACCAGAAGTGCCAAATTAAGAATTCCTTTTCTACAGAGCGATTGATTAAATGTGGCGTACCACAAGACTCTATCTTAGGACCACTATTCTTTCTGCTATATATAAATTATTTACCTCAGTGTCTAAACAAAACAAAACCTCGATTGTTTGCTGACGACACACATCTGACAGCATCGGGAGATTCTATAATTGACCTAGAAACTGCAGTAAATTCTGAAAATGGTTAATTGCCAATAAACTTAGTCTAAATGTAGCTAAGACAGAATTTATGTTAATTGGTTCAAAGGCAATGATTAAAAAAATTCTGATTCACGTTTAAATGTTTTCATTGAAAATAAGCAAATTAAACAAGTTAGCGAATGCAAAACTCTTGGAGTAATAGTTG